TGGGTTCCAGCGAACCCAGGGCTGGGTTCGATGGAACCCAGCACTGGGTTCCCTCGAGGAAGAAGAAAAAGAAAGAAGAGGAAGAAAAAAAGAGAAAAAGAAAAAGGAAGAAGAAAAGTAATAATGTGAGTTGGCATAAAAAAAATTTCACGTCTATCATGTTTTTAATTTGTCTTTGCCACATCATCAAAAAAATTATAAAAAATGCCACATAAGTGAGTTAACGATCGAAATTAACAGAAGGACTAACGGAGTGCATTTCGTATAGTTGAGGGATCAAAAAAGTGTAAAAAATTGTTAAGGGACCAAAAATGTGCAACTCACTAAAGTTGAGGGACCAAATTTAGCATTTAACCAACAGAGAAAGCTGTATGTCAGAGAGGTGAAGCATCAAAACCGAGCTCAGAAACGGAAGTTTGACGATGCCGAGTGGAAAAATCAACCCATTACTTTTACACCTGCTGATTTTGATACAGTCGTCACACCTCACAATGACCCTCTAGTCACTTCTGTCATGATTAACAATTGTGAGGTACAACGTGTCCTTGTTGACACAGGGAGTGCACCAGACATCATGTACTTCCATTGTTTTGAGAGTCTTGGGTTGAATCCAGCTTTGTTGCAGCGGTATGATGGTCCTATTTATGGATTCAACAACCAACCAGTTCCAGTTGAAGGGGTCCTAACACTGAATGTTGCATTTGGAAGTGGCCGGAACTATGTGACTCCTTCAGTTCGGTTTCTAGTGGTTAAGATGCCTTCTTCCTTCAACGTTGTCATTGGCCGACCCACACTGACTGAAATCCGAGCTGTGGTTTCCCAGTCTCACCTATGCTTGAAGTTCCCAACTCCCATGGGAATAGCAACATTGCGAGGCAATCAGGAGGTGGCCAGACATTGCTATATCACCTCGGTCACACGACCTCAGAAGGACAAAGATCAGACACCCGAGGCCAATCCTCAACGGATTCCTAATGATCAGCAAGTCATGGGTGTTGAAATAGTAGATAACCGACCGGAAGATGTGACTAGGGCTGCTCCAGTCGAAGATGTTGAGGAAGTGCCCATTGATGACAGAGATCCAAGCCGAAAGACGCAGATTGGAACTCGACTGAGCACGGAGGAAAGAGCAGAGTTAATAGCTTTTCTCCACGCTAACAATGATGTCTTCGCTTGGACTTCGGCAGATATGCCGGGAATCCCACCCTCAGTATCCCAACATAAGCTCAGTACCTATTCGTTGAAGAGACCAGTACCCCAGAAGCGACGTCTCTTCGGGGGCGAGAGGCTTCAGGCCATAAAAGAAGAAGTAGAGAAGCTTCTACAAGCTGGTTTCGTCAGAAAAGTCGATTATTGTGAATGGGTGGCTAACCCAGTGCTGGTGAAAAAGGCAAATGGTAAATGACAAATGTGCATCAACTACACAAATCTTAATCAAGCCTGCCCCAAGGATTGCTATCCAATGCCGAGCATTGATAAACTGGTTGAAGCAGCTTATGGAAACGAGATATTAAGTCTCTTGGATTCATATTCTGGCTACCACCAGGTTCCAATGGCTCCTGAGGATGAAGAGAAACATCGTTCTATGCCGACGATGAAATCTATTGCTATGTGATGATGCCCTTCGGCTTGAAGAACGTAGGTGCCACTTACCAGAAGATGGTTACCATTGTATTCCGAGTTCAAATAGGTCGAAATTTGGAAGTCTATTTTGATGATATAGTGGTGAAGAGTTTGAAAGCTGAAGATCACCTAGCTGACCTCGAGGAGACATTCAACAATCTCAGAAAAAACAAAATACGGTTAAATCCAGCCAAATGTATCTTCGGCGTGGAGTCTAGAAAATTTCTAAGCTTCATGGTATCCCGAAGAGGGATTGAAGTCAATCCGGAAAAGATCAGAGCGATAGCCGAGATGAAACCGCCGAAGTCAGTGAAAGATATACAGAGGTTGACTGGAAGGGTGGCAGCTCTTCATCGGTTCATATCGAAGTCAGCAGATAAGTGCTTGCCATTTTTCAAGATTATGAGGTCAGCCGCCCAGAAACACGAATCAGGAAAACAAAAGAAGTTTGAATGGAATCAGGACTGCCAAGCCGCATTCGAAGAGCTGAAGTCTTATCTTAGCTCACCACCTCTACTGACCAAGGCCATAGATGGAGAGATCCTCTATTTGTATCTGGGAATTTCAGACGAAGCCATTAGTTCGGTTCTGGTGAGAGAAGAAGCCAAACAACTGAAACCAATCTATTACATCAGCAGTGTGCTGCATGGTGCAGAGCTGAGATATCCTATTGCTGAGAAAGCAGCTTTAGCAATTGTCACTTCGGCCAGGAAGTTGAGGCCATATTTTCAGTCACACCCAATCATCGTCCTCACATACCAACCTCTTCGACAGATTTTACAGAAGCCAGAATGCTCTGGAAAATTAATTAAATGGGTAGTAGAACTGAGGGAATTCGAGATAACGTTTCAGCACAGATCTGCAATTCGAGCTCAAACACTGGTAGATTTTATTGTAGAATGCACTCCATGTCATTCAACCCCTAATCCAGAGCCCAACGACTGAACCTTATATGTTGATGGGGCATCTAGTAGCAAGGGTTCATGAGCTGGTGCTCTCTTGATTGGCCCAGATGGATACCGAAGTGAGCATGCTCTGAAGTTTAACTTCGATGCAACAAATAACATGACTGAGTATGAAGCTCTGCTACTTGGTCTACAGTTAGCATTGGAATTGAAAGTCAGAGCGATCCAAGTGTACCGTGACTCCTAACTGGTGGTTAATCAAATCAACTCAATCTGTGAAGTTGTCGATCCTATGATGGTGAAATATGCAGCCTTAGTGGCTGACCTCAAGTGCAAATTCCAGAAATTCTATCTGAGCAAAATTCCCTGAACTGAGAATGAACAGGCAGATTCACTCTTTAAGTTTGCCTCTGATAGTTCTTTAAGTTCCAGATCAGTTTTTGTGGAGGTTTTAGATGAACCAAGCTTCATGAAGCCACGGATGATGGAGATTAGCACAGACCCAGACACACCGAGCTGGACTGACTCGATTATCTCCTTTTTACAAGACGGGACAGTACCTAAAGACAAGAAAGAGGCAATGAGGTTGAGGAAGAAAGCATCTCGGTATACACTTGTTGATGGAGTCCTTTATAAGAGATCTTTCTCACTCCCTCTTCTACGATGCTTGAATCCCTATGAAGCGGAGTACGCACTTCGGGAGGTACATGAAGGTGTCTGCGGAAGCCACGTTGGTGCTAGAACTTTGGCTCACAAAGTCTTAAGACAGGGGTATTACTGGCCAAACATGTATAAAGATGCCACTCATTTTGTTCAGAAATGCTCGATGTGTCAATTCTTTGCACATCTAACTCACCAACCAGTAGAGGAGCTTACGAACTTAGTAGCACCATGGCCATTTGCTCAGTGGGGACTGGATCTCTTGGGCCCATTTGTGAAAGGGGTTGGTGATGTAACCCATCTGATTGTTGGTGTGGATTATTTTACCAAATGGGTTGAAGCTAGGCCGTTATCCAGTCTTACCTCTAAGAAAGTTGAAGACTTTGTTTTCAGTTCGATCATCTGCAGATATGGGATCCCAAACCAGATTGTGGCTGATAATGGAACTCAATTCAACTGCTCCTCATTCCGAGATTTTTGTTCCAGTTACGGGATCAAATTGCAGTTCATCTCAGTTTACCATCCGGAGTCCAATGGTATGGTGGAATCTGTTAATAAATGCATTTTAGAAGGAATAAAGCCGAGGCTAGAACAGCACAAAGCCAAGTGGGTAGATGAGCTCAACAACGTCCTCTAGGCATACAGAACAACGAGCGGAACTGCCACAGGTACTATTTTTAAACCAGGTTCCTTTCGTTTTATTTTTATTCTACGTTACTTTGTCACTTGCGATTCTACCCTAGATCAAATATGCATAATATGTAAAGCAGATTCTAAAGAATACAATTTCATGAAATAGGTGAAACACCCTACCACTTGGCCTTTGGTACCGAAGCAGTCATTCCTATTGAAATAGGAGTCCCAAGCTTTCGGGTCACCCATTTCGATGAAGGACGAAATGGACAACTGCTTCGAGAAAACCTTGATCTGCTTGCCGAAGTCAGAGAAGAAGCACGGCTTCGAACTCTTGTATACAAGCAGAAATTAGCCAACTTCTACAATAAATGAGTCCGCCTTCGAACATTCGAAATATGAGACCTTGTTCTCAGGAAAGCTGGCCTAACAGGGTTCGAAACTCGTTTTAGCAAACTAGCCCCAAATTGGGAAGACCCCTACACTATAGCCGAAGTGCCACACCCAGGTGCTTATATCCTACGGGACACTGAAGGAAAGAAAGTTCCTAGAGTCTGGAATGTCAATAACTTTAAGAAATTTTACCCCTAATAAACTTCTTTCAAGTCATCTATATCTTACTGTCTTTTACACCTATTACTTCATGATTGTTAAGATTCATTTTACCTCTTATTCTGTATATCCGAGGTCAATGAACTTCATTATTATTAATGAAAGTCACTTCGCATCTGAAGTGCTTTATTTCTTCTTTATCTAAAGTGCTTTACTTCTTCTTTATTTGAAGTGCTTTACTTCTTCTTTATCTGAAGTGCTTTACTTCTTCTTTATATGAAGTGCTTTACTTCTCTTTAGTTCATTTATGAAGTAATTAACCTCCTTTTATTTCATCTCCGAAATAATTAACTTTCATTCAAGAAAAATCCATACTAATCTAAGTACTTCTATCAATATAAAACAACAAAAATGTAAAGTAAACACAACATATGATTTCAACTCAAAATTTTCATTCAAAGTAATAAAAATATTACAAATTGTTTTTGCACAAACAACATCAAAGAAAACTTAAAAAACAACCAAAATTATTTCTCTGCTGGAGAAGGTGGCTGAACTGGCTCCTGCTCAGCTGGAAGAGGTGGCTGTGTTGGCTGCTGCTCGAGGAGGCTGCTCATCGTCAGAAGGAACTGGATGAATCTCCACTTCTGGAGCTGGTTGGCTCTCATCCACTTCAGTCCCTTCCACTCCTGCCCCCACATCATCTTCCTCCTCTACTTCTGCCTCTTCTTCCTCCACTGCAACGAACTCCAAGTCGAAGTTCGGAGGGAAAACAGTGCGTCCGTCTGCATCATGATCCCACCTCAGTTTGATCTGAGGACGGAAGTCTGCTGACATACTCTCACCATTTTCCTCTACTCCCGCTTCTTGCTCTCCGAAGGTAATCTTTGTAATATCCACCTCAGGATATTCAGTCTTCACCTTCTTTCTGCAGTCGGTGAAGGCGATGATGGCAGTTGGCAACCGTTAGAGGTTGACGATGTTGTCAAATGAGCTCGAGCTAATGAAGTTGCTGATGTGCTCCTCCATTCCATTGTGCACCAGCAGCTGCACATTGTTCTTTAGCTCCACATAAGCCTCCTTCATCAACGTTATCTCCTTCGCCTGAGCCTCATGCTCGCTTTCAGAGATCTTTCGTTTGCTCTCCTCAAAGATGAGTTTAGTACTCAGGGAGGCCCTATCCTGCTCTAGCTGCTTCACAGCTGGAACCACCTCGTCCAGCACCCCTTGCATCTCTTTATTTTTCTTCTGTAGCTCTTCCTTCTCCTTCTGTAGTTCTTCTTTCTCCCTCTGCAGCTGGTCACACTGCCTTTGCAAGAGGGAGCGCTTCTTCACACTCTCTGCGAACTCCTAGGCTAGACCATTCACCCAGCTCGCGCTCTGCAATTTAAGCAGAAGTTTAAAAAAAAAAAAACAAACAAAACAAACAAACAAGCAAACCAATAACTACAAATAAGTTAACATACCTCCAAAACGTGCTTCACCACCGAAGCCCCACAGTACTTAAGAGCCTCCTCCCGTGCGCAACGTTTGTCCACTTCAGGGAAGGTGGAATTGATGAACCTCCTCGCCCCCATTGTGTTCTTTGCCTCGAACAGGCTGCTCTGAAAAGACAATGGGAGAACAAGGCCCTTTCCCTTGCCGGGAGCTCGTACCTCCACCTCCTCCAACTCCCTGAGTTCAGAGTTGAGCTCAACAGGAAGAGGCCGAGGTACGAACTGGGGAACCTCGCTGCCCCTCTCCTCCTCCTCCACCACCTTCTTCTTCTTTAGTAGTGCCCCTCTCTCCTCCCTACTTTTTCTTTTCAACTGCAGCTCTAGCACCTCATCCTCCACCCCGGCTGCAGTGCTGGGCACTACCTCCTTTCCAATTCCCCCCTCATCCACTTGTTTGGTTGAAGTCTTTGACTTCTTCCTTGGCTTCTTGGGGATGGCCACTCCTCTAGCAGTGTCAAAAAATTTGTTCATTTCAGCTGTAAAACAAGAAAACACCATATCAATCATACAGTTCTATACTCTACATTAAACACTACAATGTAAGTCTAAACGAACCTTCACTTAAAGTGCTTGGCCCATAGAGCTCAGCAGCTTCTATGTATTCTGCGCTGGTGAGGTCCATGATATTTAATAAATCTCCCCCCTCCCTCTCTAACTTCCTCACCTCTTCCTCCTCATCCTCATTTAAACTAAATTTATTCTGGTTGGCTCTCTTAGCCTTCTAGGAAGATAACATTTCTACTTCTACATTCCCCCTCACCCACTCAGTATCATCTACAAAAAAGAATTTTTCCTTCCATCCTTTAATGGATGAAGGACCCGTAGTAAATAACGCTCTGCTCTCCCTATTTGCTACCTTAGGGGTGAAATAATACCACCCCTTATCTTTCCTACTTCCCCCCTTTAAAACAAAAAAATACTTAAACATATTTACAGTTGGCACACTAATCCCCTGAGCTCGGCAATAAACTAAAAATCCTATTATTACCCTCATAGCGTTGGGGACTAACTGTGTCAACCCTATACTGTAATCTAACAACAAACCCACTAGCAACTCAGGTATTGGAAACCTAAGCCCAGCTGCCAAATAATGGGCATACACAGGCATCCAATGATCCCGAGGAGTAGAACACGCTCTCTCCTCTATCCCAGCTGGCCTAACTAACACTCGAGAGGAGATCTCATAACTCTCCACCAAATACCCCAGGCTATCCTTGGTCTTGAGCTCGAACTCATATTGTTTTACCTCACCTACGATGTCTGCATCTACATCGTAGCACCTCCCTTTCCTACCCTCTACTTCTACCACAGTTATGGGTACACTATCCCCCCCAACCCCAACTACCTCACCTCCTCCCACCCCTTCCACCGTCCTCTCCGAACTGGATGGACTACTCTCTGAGTCCATCCCACCATACTCCAAAGGCATTACCTCACTTCCTACAACACTTACAGTTCCTTCTGAAGACATTTCCTTAATTTCTGCATGAAGTAGGGGGACGAATGAAGTCAGGACCCCTTTAAAAAAAAAAAAAAAAACCCTTGAACACACATTCAAAATTATTCTCAATCCCAACCCTAACTTCCTTCCGAAGACTCAAAATCAACTACAGAAAGGGAGAAAGGAGAGTGACACTTCGATTAAATCAAAAATCAAAGAATCGTATACGGTACCTGAGTTCGGTTTTGAAAACTTGGTGTAGAAACCCACAAATGATGCAGTAATTCACGCACAGGAAGCACACCGTAAAGCTTTTACAGAAGTTTTGCAGAAAATAGAATGAAAGTAAAGTTCTTTCTACAGAAAAATTACTATTTATACCTCCGGGCAAAATTAAATCTCAACGGCTGGGATTCGTTTAATCTTACGGTCCTTATTGACGCCGTTTCGAATTCAACTGTGTAACCCTAACGAGGGTTGCTTGAATTCGACGGTTCGTTTCCTAATCCTGTTTGTCTGACTGTCACAGTTACTATTCTCAGCCTGTATTAATTGTACATGTCTTTTCACAGACAGCTGTCACACCACGTACAGCTCCTTTATCAGACTTCTCAATTGGGCCCACTTAAGCCCATTTTAACACTCCTGTCCATTTTTACACATTCTTAATTTTTTGGCAAGTGTTTCACTTCGGCTACGGCCATAGTGACCCAGCGTCACACTTTTTACCTCGGCTACGGTCATAGTGACTGTGTCACCTATTTTACTTCGGCCCCGGCCACAGTGACCCAGTGTCACACGTTTCACTACAGCTACGGCCACAATGACCTAGTGTCACATGTTTCACTACGGCTCCGGCCACTATGACTACGATCATTATTTTTTACTATGGCTCCGGCCACATGACTCCGGTCATTACTTTTTATCACGACTCCGGCCATTATGACTCCGGTTATTATTTTTTATCATGATTCTGGTTACATTATGACTCCGGTCATCATTCCTTGCTATGGCTTCGGCCACAATGACTCCGGTCACCATTTTTACCACTGTTATGGCCACGATTGCTTCAGTTACATTTTATTTTGGCCATGGCCAACATAACCCCTTGTCACATACTTCATTATTGGATACAGCCATACATGTATTTGAGTTACAGATTTTTACTTACTTTTACTTCTGAACTTCATCTTTAATATCTTTGTTCCCCTTCCTTCCTATTTCTGCACTACTCCCATTACCTCTAACAATATCATTCACAAGTGAATGACTTCGGGGGG